TAGGCGGCGATCTTCACGGTCTGTTGTTCTACGGCGGCGTCCAGTGCCCCTTGCTCTTTGCGTACGGCCTTCTCGAAGCCATGCCTGACAACACCTAACCACAGTGTCTACACTTCTTTGCACTCTAACTGCAATTGCCCGAAAAGAAAGTCCAGCTTCCCGAAGTCCCACTATGCGTCCCCTATCAAACGCACTAAGTTGACGAAATCGTACAGGTCTCCGTACTCTAGGCATCGTAACCGATCGTAAAGGATGTCAAGAACCAAAATCCGCCAACATTGATTTTTTACTACGGCTGAAATATTCATTTTTAGAGCGTTAGTGAATTAAAAAAAAGCAGTATAAAAACCGGAATGTCCAACTGATAAGGCTGAAAATTTTTTCACTTGTTATTTACGGTAAGGTAAATACATTCACCAACTTTTATTAAAATAAAACCATTTAAACTGGGTGTTCGGATTTATCTTGGTATTTTTTCAATCACCAAGTCATTTTTTATACACATCAAAACACTTTTTCCTCATCGTGTACTTTCCGCCTGTCTAGGTAAAATCTCGACAAAAAGGTTTTTCAAGAAAAACTATATTAGTAGATGCCATCGTTCCAAAAATGGAGCTTGTTCCGAAAAATAAATCTAGTAAGCAAAAAGTGTAAGAGGCGTAAATAATGTATTATTCAAGTTTGAATATATGCTAAAAATCTGCCAAGTCTAATCAGCTAGCAAAAGGAGGTAACAATAACAATATTAGAAAATGATGTAGATATACTTTAGTGACAGCCACATGGTCATCTTAAATCGAACAGTGAATTAGGAAAATCGCCGTGGCATTTCTTCCAGATGGAAAGACCAAATGATATACGGTTTATGCCTTTTGTGTTTGCTCATTCCCATTTGAAAAAGGTGGCTGAAATGAGCTACTCAGCAGGCATGGCCATTTTGCCAAGACTATCCGCTGCTCAAAAAAATGCCGTCATATAGGCTGACTCTGTAATCGCCACGCAATTTTATAATCAATTAGATTATGTTCGAATTATTTCCACACCCATCTCCATATGAACCATAATAAAAAATAAAATGATCAAAGCAACTGTTTGTGCGATATAGAGTCGACCTACTTGGCGCAAAGTTGATGATAGAAAAAAGCAAAAGCAGTGTGTCAAATATTCCTAAGGGCACTACTGGAATTTCCGCTAACCCGTGATAAAATATACACCGCACGCCTATGGCCTGCCTGAGCCTTTCCCGCCAAGGCCAGTCAATTCACTGGTGTCATCGGGTGGAGTGGCGGTCACAGCTAAGTGCGAAATTAGAGAATTGTATCTATAAATATTGTCATCCTTGGAACTTACAAGCTTTTTAATTAGACTGTTAGGTGCATAGTGTTACCGAGATCAGAAGATTCTTAATAATTGAACGTTTTTCAATGATGCGAAAATGCAACATTCACGACCCCTTTGTCAATTCTCATCATCTACACTTTTTTTAAAATGATCGGGAATTTCTGAAACGCGAAAAGACAAAACTTTAACGTTTTTTATTTTTCGGTTTTCTGTCCATAGCTCCACTGCCATTGGATCGACATAGATCATATTTTTATCAACAGAAGTTAAGAAAATGTTGTGCGATGCTCTAGTACTTTCTCAGTTTATCTAGCGTGCACCTGTATATGGTCCATGTCTAGATCAAAACGGCCTTAATCGTATTCGACGTGTTGAGAACTCATTCATTCAATTCACATATGGGATTAAAAAGTATGAGCACGTTTCACACGAATTGAAGGAATTAAATTAGCTATACATGGAGAAAGGTTGCGTTATATGATTTCTGCTTATTTCACAAAAAAAGTGTACTATAAGAATCCCCCTATCTGTATCTATAATAATAAAGCACATTATTATTATTATTTAAAAAATTACATAGATTTTTCCTTCTTAGAATAGTAGACAGATAGAAAGACCGACAAACAGACCTACATACAGACCGACAGACGGACCGATTGACCGACAGACAGACTGACAGGCAGAGTAACGCGGATGAATGTATATGGCATGTATATTTTCGAAATTATGTGCTATTGCAATACTTCTACGCCACTTAGCACATAGTTTCTGGGATGTTCAGCGCTATCACTTAAAAGGTTCGAATACAGAAGGCTTTTCGGCGAATGTTTTTACTTTTGAATTCTGTATAGTCGTGACACCACCGTAGCAATTCATCAGGATAACGTGGAACGGTAAGCCGATAGAAGGGGATAAAGAAGACAATGGGAAACGACCAACCCACTGAAAGCACGATTGTCTTCGGTAATGATAGAGTAGCAGATTTAGTTTTCGCCTCGTTGCTATGGACACGGCACGATGCGACCAGTAACACGCCACGCCATCTCTGATTTGGAAACAGGGTCGTGCGTGACCCCCTATAAGGTTCAACAAGTCATCCAACACGTCTCCTTACCGTACAATGCAAATCTGAAGATAACTTGTCACGAAGTTGCATAGAACTAGTGAAGTATTCTCTACCTGGTCCTAAAAAATTATTTAGGTGTATTTTATCCGCTCGTGAGTTAGAAGAAACGTACATGACATTCGCCCATTTGAAGACAACTTATATTAAATTCTCTGAAGAATCAAGCAGAAGTGGAAAAGTTTTCATTGGAATTGAATATGCCTCCCGTTTCATCTGGCGAAAAAAACTAGCCGCCAAACATGGATGTAACTTTAGCGACAGAATGGTAAAAAGACATCTAACAGAAACAAATTCAAGCAATTTAGGCTGAACTATATCAAAAGAGACTGTAGACAAATCATGGAAGAAATAATGAAATGTCAGATCTAGAAAATTCGTCTCCAATAACAAAGTAAATATTGAACCTTCGAGAATTGTAAAATTAAAGAAAAGCATAATATTTGGTTCAGAAGAACAGCGGCACTTGGTGAATACTTACCAAGAACTACAAAGATCGAAAGAAAAAAGAGAGAAATAAGGCTAGATCCAAAGAGCAGTCACTAAAGGATTAAAGACTTCTTAAAACTAGAGGATGCACTGGCAAAAGGAAGTTTGTGAAAAAAATAAAGTAACAAAACAAACATTTCTTCTCAAACACTGAAGGATCTTTATCAAAAATTGCTACTTGCGTATCCAACCTTCAAAATAAGTTACACATTTTTTTTGTTTTGATAGACCTTTCTATACTAAGTGACATATAAATCCGAACAACCAGTTTAAATGGTTTTATTTTAATAAAATTTTGTATAACTACTTAATGAAGCATAATAAGTAAATGATAAAAATTTCAAAATGATTGCACTGCTTTAAAGCCCTTTGACCTTTAATAATGTGTGGATGCACCCTGATGTGCTACGCATTCTCCAACGCGCCTAGGCATGCTTCTGATCAGGTGGTCAATGTCCTCCTGTGGTATCTCATTCCAGACAACCACCAACTCCTCTCGAAGAGCTTCTAGAGTCTGACTAGGACGTTGCAAATTGAGCAATCTCCTACCCCATCATATCCCACACGTGCTCAATTGGGGATAAGTCGGGAGATCTTGGTGGCCATGGTAACAATGTGACATCATTATGTTGAAAGAAGTCTATTGTGACTCTTACAACATGTGGTCGGGCATTATCTTGTTGGAAAGTTGGATCTGCCAGGGTGTCAAGATAGTGTAAAAGATGGGGTTCTAGAACTTCGTGGATATATCGCTGCGCGTTCATGTTACCTCTGATGAAGATTAAAGGTGACCTGGAACCATAAGCTATAGCACCCCAAACCATAACTCCAACAGTGTGATGAACATGTCTTTCAACAATAAACTGTGGATTCCTCCTTTCACCACGTCGCCTTCTAACCCTGGCACGACCATCGTGCAAGCCTAAACAAAATCGAGACTCGTCACTAAAGACAATACTGTTCCATTCCTGATCCCAGAGTGACCGTTGTCTGCACCACTCAAGGCGATTACGTCGGTGTTCTCGAGTTAAAGGGAGGACCCAGTGTGGCCGGTATGAAAACAAGCCAAAACTTCTCATTCGTCGGTAAACACTTCGCATGCCAATAGGTCTTCCGTGTTCTGCAAACCATTCATTTGCAATGGACCTGGTAGTGGAGAAACGGTCCCTTAAAGCCAATAATCTTAGGCGGCGATCTTCACGGTCTGTTGTTCTACGGCGGCGTCCAGTGCCCCTTGCTCTTCGTATGGCTTTCTCGAAGCCATGCCTGACAACACCTAACCACAGTGTCTACACTTCTTTGCACTCTAACTGCAATTGCCCGAAAAGAAAGTCCAGCTTCCCGAAGTCCCACTATACGGCCCCTATCAAACTCACTAAGTTGATGAAATCGTACAGTTCTCCGTACTCTAGGCATCGTAACCGATCGTAAAGGATGTCAAGAACCAAAATTCGCCAACGTTGATTCTTTACTACGGCTGAAATATTCATTTTTAGAGCGTTAGTGAATTAAAAAAAGCAGTATAAAAACCGGAATGTCCAACTGATAAGGCTGAAAATTTTTTCACTTGTTATTTACAGTAAGATAAATACATTCACCAACTTTTATTAAAATAAACCCATTTAAACTGGGTGTTCGGATTTATATGTCACTTAGTATATTAAGCATCTGAAAATTTGTGATAGATACACTTGCGAATGCCACATGGCAATATGGAAATGAACATTCACAGTCTGTACGTAAATGATTTAGCTTTCTTGAAAACCTCTCAGTTATAAACCTAAACAACACATATGGTGAAGACTGGTACCGGACCGATAAGTGGCATAAGTTTTCGAACTCATGAAACATCAAAAAATACGAAATTTCTGCGATCTATTTATCACCTCGTTGTCTGTCATGCGAAAGAACAATGCGATGTAGTTCCAATACAATGTAGCAAAGATTTACCTACACATTTGGGAAAAACTTGAAGAAACAACTAGTTTCCCCGTAAAAATATAAAGCACTTCTATCCAATTTCTGCAAACCATATTTTCCCGCTTACCTTCTAAGCTCTGGTCGTATCCCTTGGTAAAGAACAGCATGGCCTTCGCCGCTCTTTCAGGGGTTTTTAACAGACCTTGACGGTCTGGATTTTCCCCTAAGGAGCTCAAAAGAAGGCGGTATGACCTCGACATCTCCGGCAGCATCGCCTCCCGAGTAGGCGGTCGGTGGTCGAGCTCCAAGTCGTGGTGGAAGGTACATTTTTCGTGGCCTACAAAGAAACACTGATTACAAAATAATGTTTGCCGAATAATTTGCATATAAGCCGGTGCAGTTAAACCTGAGATTGACTGATCAGAAGGTGAAGTGACGGATTTTATGGGACAATCTTATTCATAGCAGTTTCTCTGGTCGATAAACGTAACCATGAATGCTGAAGAGAGAAAACACGACAGAGACAGGACGAGTTTCAGGAACAATAAACAAATTTCAGGTACAACGAAAACGATACCACGTATGTCTGTCAATCCAAGGTTTGAGCAGAAAGGTCTCGATCAAAGTTTGAAACACTGAACTTTTACGAAAACCGCGTCTAGGAAAATTAAACTACATGCATTGAACTTTGACCATGTAGGAGGTCTATAGACTATAAGTGATAAGACTGAGCATTCGATCTGGCAATACTGGATGCGCCGATCTCGGAGGGGAAACAGGGGAACATATGATCCGATTTTAGTACAAGTTTGAACTCGCTCGAGCCATTTGGTTGTCCGTGGCGTTTTTTTGTGAAACATGTTTTTTCTAATTTCTTATCTATGAAGAATGGGAGAACCATCTCCAGCGCAGTGTGGGTTCAGAAAGAAGCTCTTTTGAGTGAAATTGTAAATATATTTGAATAAAAAAATTAAAAAATTAGTCACTTAATTTACAGATCTCATATGTCGGCCACTGCAAGTTTGATCAGAAGAGATGCAATCAAAGTCTGAGAGACGAGTTTACAGCGAACTTTTACCGAAACTGTCAGTTACTTAGCGATTTAATTAATTGATACTAGACTTGACCTTGACCGCTCATCAGACTTTGATCACAACACAACATAGAGTAAGAGTCCATATTTTTAACTTGAAAGTAGCTGTTATAGAGTAGATTTTATAGGTTCTAGTAGCTCATGAAAATCAGATTCCCTTCACTGGATTTTTATGAACCTATAGTAGGACTCAAGCTCAAATTCAAGGGGTGACTGTATCATTCTTAGATTATTTGGTTCTTTGACGATTTTCGAAAAACTACTTAATAAAGTTTCACAATCGTGAAACTTTATTTTCCAAACCATTTTAGTTTATCACGCCATAGGCGAGAAACTATTGTAATTGAAAAAAATCGGCCCATAGGCGGTGGAGCTAGGAAAAACACAAATACAAATCCCTACCCCCCTACCCCTACCTTTTTGACATTTTAAAGGCTCATCATCATTTTCCCGAACAAATTTAGTAGTGGTTGAAAATTTGTGATTGTATGGGGTGCGGTGGGGGGATATTTCAATTTTTTAGCAGTAGTTGATTCATACGCTTCGAATCCCGGCAATCCTTTGAAACACTTAGTGCATATTTCACACATCATAGACTTTCCCATACATTTTCCTTAATACTTAAAAAAATATTTTCAATAGGTCGCGGTCGCATGACAACCTATATGCATAAAGTCCTGCCTGCCCCTGAACTTTCACCGCAGGAGCTCACTTATGGCAAATGACTGGTTTGGTTCATTAACGTTGCCAGATAGTAGATAATTTCTGTAAGGAAACGAAAGAAATTTCTGAAGTTATCATATCGAGGAGGACTATGGTCTAATTGTACTGGCCTGTATGGATACTTGACTTATTTAATTTTTCTGTTTAACATATGTTCGTAGCTAACTTTTTCTTCAACGTAGTTAACATAGTCGTTTACAACAACGTTGCATGGAAAGCGCACAGACAACCTACTTGACGCCGATTTTCCGAAGATAGTAGTAGCCTTTACAGTCAAGAATGTCTTGAGAAGCTTCTTATTCTACAAAAACTGTACAATACAATACCTAAATATTCTATGTATAGGCTCTTTTCAGATACACCAAGGTAGCTGAGTTACAGCTTTTTCCGATATTCAGGTATCCTTCGTTCGATCCAACGATCTCTGCCTTTTATTTCTGCTAAAAGTTGACGAAGAATCGTACTGAAACTATAACCAAATAAAAAGAAATAACTAAATAAGAAGTTAACCCGGTGTATTTACAGCATTTCGGCAGTGTATGACGAGGATATTGAACCCTTCAGTCTTTTAGTAAGTCATTGAAGAATTCTAAATGGATTTTGAGGACTACGAAACCTGCTGAAAAGAAAGCTATTAGAAAAGGGTATGAAGAGTGACAAAAGCGAATAAAAAATACACATACACAAAGGAGAAACAAAGAGAAAGGGAAAGCAAACACCACCGGAATCATCTGAAGGATCAAAGTGTCGTTGCCTTCTTTGCGTAAATTAGATTTTACTGGTTATTGTTTTTTTATTTTAGTTATTATTCAGAGATTTTTGTTTGGCAAGTCTGATTATAAAACTACTAGATAGTTTCAGGTTAGTACTAGCAATTATGTAAAAAGGCTACTTAACCGTCCCTTAAATATTATATTATGTTTTAACTATATTTCGTTATTTTTGTTTAATAAAACTGATTTTAAATTTACGTATTATTTTTGAGTAGTAAATGACATATAACAGCCAAACTGTTATACCTGACCTACTGATTTTGACACTACTTTAAAAACAAATAGCAATGCTTTCATTTCAAAGGCTTTAATCGCTTCTTATAGCGGTAACAGCTGTGCTGTCGGCATTTACAGGAACATTTTTACAACCGCACCCTGTCTACCCTAAATTTGCTCTGCTCAATCTAGAGACAAATTCCTAAAGCTTCACATATTTTCCTGACCGCAAAGTCCCTGACGATTGAACTATCATTCTTCAGATGGACTGAAGAATCAACTATACAGGGTGGCCGATATGTAACTGACTGGTTTGTATCTCGAATATTTGTGAAATGAAATAAAATACGTCAATTTTTTTCATCTTAATCTTTTATTGAAATCTAGAAATTATGTATGTAAATCAGTCGTCTAAATGCAAAACCCGACAAGTCACAACATGTTGGAATTTCAGTTTTATACACCATTGAATTCTTTATCTAAAGGGCTGCAAACTGCAATATTTTTAGGGCGAAACCCGACTTCTAACACGCTATTTTTAATACAGAAAATTCCCTTGAAATGCAAAAGCGTCGTTTAAATTCAAATACCGACATGTCCATGTCGACCAATGAAATTCGTGTTTGGTCAATCACGTGTTGCAATCGAGGTTTGTCGCCCTGACTTGCATGCACATATTTATTTTGCGTTGAGTCTCGAATTATTAAGGTTGTGCGATCTAATTTGATGGTATTTTAGCCTAAAATATGAGTGCATTGCATTGCGAAAAATATAATATATAGTACTACCATCGGAAGGTAATAGATCTCGAAAGAAAGTTAAGACGCCGTCTAAGCGGGAAAATGCAACAGGTAAGCTAATAGATACTTGTTACACGGTAGGAATAGTAATTTATTTGTATGTATTTTTCTAGATATTCTGCAAAATTATTGCCAAAATGTGGGCATGTAGATAAGCCGTACCAGCAAGAGTTTGTTGAATCACTGAAGTGCATAGAGTCTCATTATTGCCGATCTAAGACATTCAGTAGAATTTATTTGCCTGCAGAACTAAATATCAGGAAACTTTGGAGAATGTTTAACAATACCGTGGACAAAGACCTTCAGGTTAAGGAGTCATTTTTCAGATACTTTTTCACCAGAAAATACAATGTTGGCTTTGGTACTCCTAAAACCGACATGTGTTCAACATGCCTGCAGTTTCAAGACCAAATAGAAATGTCATTAGATATCAACACAAAGAATCGATTAATGGCTCAACAGCGAGCTTACAAAATCCGAACAAAGTGCTTCTATGAGCTTTTGAAAGAAGTCCATGCTGACAATTAGGTTATTACATTCAGCTTTGATTGTCAAAAAAACCTGGCTCTGCCAAAAATCGCAGATCAAGCAGCCTACTTCAGTATGCAGCTAAACTTTTATCACTTTGCAATTGTACAGGGGACTTCTAAAGGAAAAATAAGTCCAACTTCAGTCAATTCCTATGTATGGACTGAACTAGATCATCAAAGGGGATCCAATGAAATAGCATCAGCATTATATCATACTCTCAGCACATTTAAATTTAGCGAATCTACTAAAGTCGTTCGGCTTTTTTGTGATGGTTGCGGTGCGCAAAATAAGAACTCCATCGTCATTGGGATGTTATCCCATTGGTTATTAAAGTGCAGTACCTACCCCCAACATAGACAAAATTGAAATATTTTTTCCGGTTGTGGGGCATTCCTATATTCCACCAGATAGACTATTTGGACAAATTGAGAAGGTTATTAAAAAGTCACCTGAAATTACAAGTCCAGAACAATACATGAAAGTAATAGAGAAGTGGGGAAGCATCTACAAGTTGGGAGTTGATGTTCCTGTACAGGACTGGAAGTAAAAAGTTCAGATAGTTATGAAACCAACATCACAGTGGCATTTCAAGTTGCAAGTTTCCAAACGCATCATAATTTCAAAAACTGAAACCGGTTATGCAGTAAGAGGTGAAAAAGTTTCTATAAGAATGACATGGGCACCAACCAGTCGCTGCTGAGGAGAGGAAGAAAGTTGGACATCAAACCAAGCACTGTAAACATTGCAATGCCATTGAAATCGGATAAGAAGAAGAGTATCAGTAATTTGATTGCAAAACATTACGGAAGTAATTGGCGAAATGATGAAGCCTTATCATTTTTCAAAAGTGCCTTCGATGAACTTCCTCTCCCATCCACTTCAACCTCACGAGATGGTGATGAGGCCAATACAGAGTTGTTTTGTTTAGAAGAAACTTTAGATTTTGAAATTTAGAAAACACAAATTTTATGTTGTTTGGAATGTGCATTTTCTTAATACTACGAGTACTTTGTAATAAAATAATCTAAAAGTTTGTTCGTGTTTTGCCGATTCGCCTTGTTTTAGCCAAAGTTAATAACCAAAACCCGACAAGTCACCATGTTTTATATGCAAAACCCGACAACTCCAAACTTTAATCTTAATTTAAGTAATTATTAATTATAACATATGTTTGGGAACCAGTTTTTCGTTACACATTTTT